GAGGACCCCGTTCCCTCCTGCCTTCAGTTTAAAGGAAATGTCCCGTTATGTGTCTTTCTTACATAGGGTTGATGGAAGAGAATGCCATGTTCACAGACAGACCTTTGAGCCCAAAATGCCGGCAGTAAACCACATTCCCCGGTAGCCATCCCCCTTGGGAGAGCAGCATTACTGGAAACGCTTCCTGTTCATTTCAAGTGTCCTGACAAGAGGGGGGTTGGGGAATGTTGCCATGGAGGGATGTCGGAGCCCGTGTGGTCCATGGCGTGTACTGTAAAGCAGAGCATTGACCCAGCATTCCTCGGTTGGGCCGCACCGCAGTCTTTTTTCTAGTATTTTTCGTCTTTTCTGGGGCCAACAGGATTAATTTCATAGATGTTCGGATTGCATCTAGCCGTAATGCATTTTACCTTTGAAACTGAGTCTTGGGGTGCCTGGGTGGCTCATTCGGTTAAGCTTTGACTCTTGATTTTGGCTCAGGTCGTGATCTCAGGGTCATGAGATGGAGCCCTGCATTAGGCTCTGTGGTCATTACAGAGTCTGCTCAAGATTCTCTCTCCCACTGCCCCTCCCCCTGCCCACACTCTCTAAACAAATACGCAAACAAATAAAATATTTTCCTTTTTTTATTAATATACAATGTATTCTTTGCTTCAGGGGTGCAGGTCTGTGAATCATCAGCCACCCTATCCTTCCCCCCACCCCCCAGCAGTCCCCAGTTTGTTTCCTGAGATTAAGGGTCTCTTATGCTTTGTCTCCCTCCTGATTCCATCTTGTTTCATTTTTTCCCTCCCTGCCCCCCACGACCCCCACTCTGCCTCTCAACTTCTTCATATCAGGGACATCATATGATAATTGTCTTTCTCCGATTGAGTTATTTCGCTCAGCATAATACCCTCTAGTTCCATCCACATCATCGCAAATGGCAAGATTTCATTTCTTTTGATGGCTGCATAGTATTCCATTGTGTATATACACCACATCTTCTTTATCCGTTCATCTGTGGATGGACATCCAGGCTCTCTCCACAGTCTGGCTATTATGGATGTTGCTGCTATAAACATTCGGGTGCACGTGCCCCTTCGGATCACTACGTTTGTATCTTTAGGGTAAATACCCAGTAGTGGAATTCTTGGGTCATAGGGTAGCTCTATTTTCAACTTTTTGAGGAACCTCCACGCTGTTTTCCAGAGTGGCTGCACCAGCTTGCCTTCCCACCAACAGTGCAGGAGGCTCCCCTTTCTCTGCATCCTCGCCAGCATCTGTCGTTTCCTGACTTTTAGCCATTCTGACCGGTGTGAGGTGGGATCTCACTGTGGTTTTGACAAACAAATAAAATCTTTGAAAACAAGTTGCATCTCTGTTCGGGAGTAGAAAGGATCGTCTGTATCAGCTTGGTGCTGTCTTCAAGAACATTTACAGAGGCCAGTCTAGACGGCAGTGTTGGGAGCACAGATGACACCTTCCCTGTTGTTTCCGAGTTCTTCCCTCGGGCTGTTACAAAGCATGATCACAGGGAGAGAGACTTGGTGACCTCAACCCTTTCGATGCGTTTTCATGGCTGTGTTCCTAGTTCTTTTGGGGACAGAAGTAATTAAACTATTTCCAGGTCTCCAGAGGGTTCCAAGAGAAGGAGCGGAGTCAGCTGTCCCAGGAGCTGATTGAACAGGAACATGGAAGGAGTGCGGCGAGATTGGAGGACAGTCCAGGCCTTTCTCCGGCAAGCGTTAGCCAAACTCAGCACTGCCTAGGATGGAGGCTCGTTCTTTGGCCCCAAGTGTAAACAAAGGGCTACAGTTTCAAGATAAGACCTACTTGGGAGGGTGTGTGACGGCCCGAGCTTCCATCCTGAAGCGGGAGCGAGCACAGGAACGTGAACCACGGCCTGCTCTGTTCTATCTGCGCCGCTTACGATGACGGTGACGTGTGCTCGTCTTCGCATCCCCGTGACCCCTCCGTCCCGGCCTTTGGTCTTGATCCGCAGGAGTGGACCGGGTCTCCACCGTGGGGCCCCTCCATCCACGAAGCCCGTCCTCGGTAGATGCTCTTCTCTGTGGAGAGGAGGGCGGTGTCTCTGGGATGCACAGTTCAGCTTTCCATGGGCGCAATTTTGAAATGGTTTATGGGACTGAAGAGTTGTCTGTTTGCTTTGGAAAAAGTCTCTCCAGCGTGAAGCAGGTGGGCTCGTGGCTGGCTCTTTTCACGGGCGCTCCTTATGCTCCCAGATGTTGTCTTCCTGGCGTCCTGCTCTGGGCCCAGAGGTTCACATCTGTCTTGGAGAAGAGCTCAGTCCCACGGCAGATACTAGATCCCATTTCTACCTGACTTCGAAAATCTGGTACCAGTATCGGAGTCCCTCCGTGGGAAGCCAGAGCACTGAGGGTTGAAAAGCCCCATTTAAACAGCTCTGTGTGATGGGCATGCTCTGGGGAGCTACTGTGAAAACCTCAGGAGGGACCCTGAGAAACACTGGTGTCTGTGGGATGGGGTGGGGGGACTCTGGGTCACGAGCAGGGTCTGTCCCTTTGGAGGCCCGACCGGCTGGAAGGGTCTGCTGTGCATCGCCTCGGGGCCCCCACCTTCTGCGGCCCCAAGTGGGGTCCCCTGTGTGGTGGTATAAGCTTGTCCCTCGTTCGCCGGGGCCGAGAGAATTTAATCCCCCTTGTGGATAACACCTTAATGCAGCTAAAAGAAGATTACTTATTTTTAAAGCCTTTCCATTTTGTTCTTGTCCATTTGACAAATGAAGCATTAGTATTCCCAGGGTGGCAGGGCCAGCGGCCGGCCAGGACGAGGCTCGGTGCGGTCACTGTCCCTTAACGGGCTCCGAGCCACAGTGCTAGCCACGTTTCGCTGGGCTGAGCTGCAACGCTGGGGCAACCCCAGACAGCTGTTGTGGCCAACTCTACCCACTGAGTGCTGCGGGGAGACCGGGGAACGGTCCGTCTGTGCGGCCGGTTCTACAGAGGGGTCGGGAGCCCGGGGGGTGGGAAGACCGTCCAGCGGCTCTCGGTGACAGGACGTTGGGACCCATAAATGCTCTGTCTTTAGTGCTCCACTTCGTGCTTGATGGGACCTGAATAGGGGCTGCGGCCATCGGAGTCTTGCATCCTAGAAGTTTTAAAGCCTTTAAGTCTAAAGCCGCTTGTTTATTTATTTGTGCTTAATCATGGGCTCAGGCTGCTACGTATCTGGGGATGGGGTCGGGGGAAGCTTTGTGTGGAACCGGACACAACAGAAACCACCTCCTTCTTGCTCGAGAGCACGGATGGAGCCCTGGGATTTTATACATATTGTGAAAATTCGAATCAGCTTGTAGAGACAGAAGGTTCCAGAGACCTAACGGGAACCCAGCAGTCACCCTCTGGTGTTTTTCCCAGAGCTGTGCGAGGCCCGGGCCGTCGAGATGGGGACAGCAGACGCGCTCCGTGTCATGTCACTTGTGTTTGTAACTCATCTGGCACGAAAATACGTTCCTCCTAAGAGGACTATTTATAGAGCATTTATTTTTAAAAGAATAGACGACATTTCTTATACAAACATTTTTTTGTTCCAACCTTTTGTGAACTCGGGAGAGGCGGTAACATGATGAAGATATGTAAACTTGCGCACGTAGCTCGAGCTTCTGCACGACCTTGCCAGGCCAGCGGACACGAGTGCGGGGCGGTTTCTGCCAGGGCCGAGAGCAGGCGTTGCTCTCCCTTCTCAGTCTGTGCCATCGAGAGCCTTCGACGGGGTGGGGGGATGCTGGGGATGGATGCTGGGGATGGATGCAGGGGGGGATGCAGGGAGGGCCCAGCATCCGGCTCCAGTCTCCTTGGGAGGGGCAGAGGGGCCGGGCGGGGGGAGGCTCTGGACAGGGCCGTTGCGGGTGGGAAGGAAGGAGTTCGCTGGAGATGAGAAAGAAGAAGGGGGCAGATGTCCTAGCCTGAACTTGGGGAAACAGCAGGCCGGATAAAGGAACTATTTGGATAATCTTTCCACTTGGTATTTTATTTTAGATTCTGATAAATCCACCAGAGAATTAAAGAATTTTCTTTTCCCTCCCAAGTGACAGCCGGCATCGTTCCCTTGGGAAAGTGGGGGGTCCCTCCTGCCTTCCGCTCCTCCCTCCTGATGACTTGGCCCCGGCCTGGCACGCTGGCCACCTACCCGGCGCCCCCCACCGCGCCCCTCCCAGCCAGTGAGCACCTGGCACCTGGCTCCCTGTCGTCTCTGGGGGCCGCTCGCCTTCTGCGAGGGCAGGGGTGACCCCGCATTCTAGAAGGTCCTCTCCTGTAGAGGGGTCCGGGGGCAGAAACTTGATATTTCTGTTTGGTAACTGCTTTCTCTGAAATGCTTTGTGATTTTTATCGGGAATGTGGCCTGGTTTATTCCTGGTGTAATTACTTCTCTTTGTCTTATAGGTCCTTAAGCGGACTCACCTTATAATGCTATTTTTGTTAAGGCTGTATTATTTCCTCAGTGTTTAATATTTTATATGGTCTTTGAATTATCCCCACATCGTTAGAAACCACAATAAGTTGAAAATTATCTAGATAGAACAATTGATGGTGTTCCAAGTATATTTTTAAGTTTTTTGCTTACAACATCTATCACTTGTTTTCTTTCTAAGCCTCCTTTTTAGAGAGAGGAGACGGCTAATGGCTTTTACAGCATATGGACGTGGAAATGTCTGGGGAATTTTAAGTCCGCTGGTGGGGAGAAACGGAACATAGTATCCAGGAGAAACTTTTTATGTGGAAAGACTATAACGACTAGATTCGGGCAAAACAGAGTTTAGCTCTTGAGAAATGCATTGGGAAGAAAAGATCTGGAATGTGGATTCCAGTTTTCAGACGATTCCATAACAGAAAAGGTGCGGATGTGGGTACTTAGCAGGTTTGGAACTCTGACATCCCGTCCTTGCTAACTTTTCAGGTCCCTATTATTTTATTCCTTGAAATTGAGGGGTGTTTGGTGCAAATTCTCCTTTCTGTCTTGTCTCGTGCCTCCTCCAGGTCGTGTCTTGTCACGTGGCGGGCGAGGCCATTCAGTTCCTGGTCCGTGCGGGATCCCCGTCCCCCGAAGACACGGGGCACCAGCTGTACTGTGCACGGCTCTCCCCGTTTCATCTGCAGGTGAGTCCGGGGAGATCGAGCAGGTCCTGGGGAGACCGTAAACCTCATAAACCCATAGGGTAAGGCTGGTGTGATCGCGGGGCCTCATTTACCTCGTAGGTTTTGGACGGTAAGCTTCTATCTCGAATGGGTAGAAATAAAGCGTGGGTTATGGATGCGCACGGACCGTACACATGCATGCACACACGTGTACGCATACCCCACATACGTGTTACACACAGGTGTGTGTGGGTGGCGGTCATGAATTCCGTCTACCACTGTCGGGAGAGAGGCTGCGTTTCGAGGTGTTTAACCAGAGCAGGCGTGTTGCCGACAGGCGGAGTGAAGGTGAGAGACATCCGAGATGAGGACAGTGGTTCTGTCCCAGGACCCGGTGCCAGAGCCCAGCCGTCCTTGGCAGCTGGGGCTCCAGCCTAGGGGCTGGCGTGGGAGTTCCTCCCTTTTTTAGTTTTTGGAAAAGGCCAGCTTTAAAAGACCTCTTACTCGTCGGTGTAAGTTTGAAAGATGAGTAGGGCCCTCGTTTTTCTCATCACCCATGGATTATCCTCATTGTGGCTCGGTACGGGCACGGCTCATTTCACTCGACTTCGTAGATGCTGCACTTTCCACCCCGGAAGGCTCGTGGGAGCCAGCCTGGGGGTTGCCTGTCGGCGTGTTCTCCGGCAGCCTTCGCTTGCTGTGTGTCTCTGTCGCGTGTGGGTGATTCTGTCGTATGTCATACTTTTCCCTTATAACGTTTGTCCCGGTGATCTGGGCTCGAACGCTCACACGGGGGTCACCATTTTCAGCAATAATCTATGCTTTTTTTAGATGTGATGCTTTTGCACACTTAATAGACTACAAGATAGTGTAAATATAGCTTTAAAAAAACACATATTTATTTTAGAGCGAGTGCGTGCGAGAGCGTGAAAGCGGGAGCAGGAGCAGAAGGAGGGGGAGAGGCAGACTCCCCGCTGAGCGTGGAGCCTGACGCGGGGCTCAATCCTGCGACCCTGAGACCACGACCTGAGCCGATATCAGGAGTCGGACGCTCAGTGCACTGAGCTGCGCTGGCGCCCCCCAAACGTGACCTTTCTGCGCCCTGGGAAGCCAGAACGCTCCCTTGGGTGGCTTTGTGGCGCTACTTCCTTCATTGTGGTTTTCTGGAAGCCGATTCGCTGCCTCCCCGAGGGGCGCTGGTCTGTGTGCTCCGTCGTATTAGTGACGATCTCCGCAGTCATTACACAGAGACACGTCTAATCATCGTAATAGGCTAGGGGGGTTCCTGGTCGCTGAACCACCCAGCTGCCGTGTCCCTCCCATGAAGCAGGTCCACGAGGTTCCGTTCAGCTGTGGATTTCTGGGTGGGTCTGTTTTAGGGGTCACCGCAGCTTTGGCCCCGTGTCTCCCCTTCCTCTGTGCCCGAGCTTGGCTGCTCGTTTGGGGGATGAGCCAAGTCGCACGGCCCCCTCAGCCACAGGGGAAGAGGACGTCCCGTGTGCTTTTCTTACACAGGCGTGGTTACGAAGAGCCGGGGCCAGCAAGGTTTTCTGGCCACCTACGTGGCTTTTCTCCGCGAGCCAACCCTGCCGAACCCCCTCCCTGACCCTCCCCTCCTGAGACTTGAGGAGGGCGTCACTCCGCGCACCCGTGAGATGCGCGTACCCTCCCGCTCCCCTGAACATTCTGGACGGCGTAATTGCCAAATAGTTGCAGAGTCCAGGACACGTGTCGCCGACACGCGATGGCTGTTTCAGGACAGAGTGAGTCGGCAAGACCCGTAAGCCTCCACAGAGGACACGGAGTTTCCCAGATGCTGTTTTTGTGCCCTTTCGGGCAGCTCAGAGACAAGTAACGTGATCGCATCTTTGATCTCTCAACACAGCTGAAAACCGCTCTTCGGATTCCCTCTCACAGGCAGGCAGCTGCTGGAGGGGAGCCGTTATCCAAGCCCCAGGCAGGAGACACTCCTGTCGCTCTGTTGTCCTTCGGATAAAAGGGGCAGAAGGGCCCCCGCCCTGCCCGGCGTTTGTCTCGCTTGTCTCGCTGCCCCAGGACCTGCCCGGGCTGGTGTACCTTCCTGGGAATCAGCCAGGATTCTAGGACCAAGAAAGGCCTCCCTGGTCTTACCAGGTGCTAGCCTGAGCTAACAGCCCCGAGGAGGGGCTAGTACCTTGGAAAGCCGCTCTCTCCTCCTTTGCTGAGGGTGGGGAGGAGGCCCGAGGGGAAGAGCTGGGGTCCGTGCTTAGGAAAGAGTCTCGCGTTGAAGAACGAAGGGAAGGGTATTTGTTTGCTGTGGCTGCTGAGACAGAGCATGCGAACTTAGCTTAAAACCTAGACGTGGGGGCGCCCCGGGGACACAGTCGGTTGAGTGTCCGACTCTCGGTTCCGGCTCAGCTCGTGATCTCAGGCTCATGAGGTCGAGCCCTGTGTTGGGCTCCACGCTCAGCACGGACTCTGCTTGGGATTCTCTCTCTCTCTCTCTGCCCCCACCCCCCCGGGCATGCTCGCTCACTCTCTTTTCTAAAAAAAAAAAAAAAATGAATAAATGTTTTTTTAAAGAAAACCCAGCATAAATGGAGCCACTCTGGAGGCCCGATGTCCAGCACAGGCTCACATCGGCGGGCCGCCTTGCTGTCTGGAAGCTCTGGGAGGATCTGCTTCCTTGCTCTTTGGGCTATCAGTGTGATTCTGTTCCTTGGGACCGCAGGACTGAGGGCCTGTGTTCTTGCCAGCCGGCCGCCGGGGGCTGTTGGCAGCTTCTAGCCACCACCTCATTCCGGAGCTCCTGGCATCCTCCCTCCATCTTCGCGCCCCTCGCACTGGCCTGCTGTCCTGTCTTCCTCTTCTCTCAGGCCTCGCTGGGATGACCCAGCGTTATCTCCTCGTTCACTGGTCCTTTCTGCGAAGTCCCCTTTGCTGTACCTGGTCCTGTTATCACCAGTTCCGAGAATCTGGGTGTGGTGGGGGGCATGACGCTGCCTCCCTACGTGGGTCCCATCCAACAGGTTGTTGCAAGAGCCGAGAGTCCACTTGGAGGCCGTGCGTCGGCCCAGGCAAGAGAGGACGAGGACACCCGTGCTGGGGCACAACCCTTGGGGCCTGTGGGAGCGAGGGGTTGGGCTACGCATCTCCCTTCCCACCTGATCCTCCCTCTCCGCCTGCCTTGGTGTCAGCCCCAGGAGAGAATGCAAAGCGCAGAGAATTACTCATGTAATTACAGAATCACGTAATGCAGAATTTTCATGACATCTGGCCTTCAGCGGCCAACACTGAGAACCCTCCGAGTGGTAGGTTGAGGCCGTGGAAGGTTTTGGCGGGGCGGGGGTGGGGTGAAGGGGAGCCCCAGGGAGTTTAGAGCTTTCCTTACCATTGTGAAAGGCAAGGGGGGGCCAAGCAGACGTCTCGGAAAATAAACGAGCATATACGCGTGCACACACGTGCGCAGACACGCGCGGACGCATGAGGTTTTGCTGGCCGCTTAGCTCTCCAGTAACCCTGTGTTTTGGCAGCTGGAGCTCCACATGAAAGAGAAGAGGGAGGACATCCAGATCCAGTGGTCCTACGTCAGCACTCCAGAGACGGCCGTTACGGTGCAGCCCAGAGCAGTGGTGGAGGTCAGTCTGGGCGTTTTTATGACCACCCCCCCGCCCCCTCTGTTGGTGTACGTGAGAACGCGTGTGCGTGGTGACCCCCTGATCTGGGGAACAGAGGCTCAGCCCGGCACCCCTCTGATGCCGGCGGGCTTCTCCCCTCCTCCCGGATCGTGGGGCTGCACTGACGGGGGGGTGGGGGAGACGGCTTTGCTGGATCTAACGCCAGCCCTCAACCCTGCCACACCTGCCATTGCCTGGGGACTTTAGAAGATTCTGGGCCTGCCCCCTGCCACCCCCAACAAACCCCAGAATTATTTCTAGCACTGTTGTGCAGCGCAGGCTGAGAACCAGTGACGTCTGTTGCCACAGCGCTCCTCAGGCTGTCATGCCTGACATCAGACCCTTTCTGCTTCCCCGAGGCACTCCTGGGATAGCTCAGGTGGTGGCTGTGGGGTGGCTCCTGGGGGCAGGCGTGTCTCTCCCCCCACCTAAAATTCAGTGCATGTAGAATCGGAAGGCGATCTCTCTGCTTCCCATGGTCTTAAGTGTTGGAAGAAATGAATTTGGAAGCAGGGAGTGGGCATACGAGGTCACCCTGGGGTCACTTTCAGGGGCTGGAAAGATCATGCGAGATCACATACGCCAGAGGCCCCTGTGACTGCTGGTTCCCTTGTAGGGTGGGGTTGTGACGACGGTTGTCCGCCGTCTTGGCTCTGTTTCAGACTCTCGTTCAACCACAGAGAGATCCCCAACGGCTAAGTATGGGACTGTAAGCCTCTGTCCATCCATACTGTCACCATCCGTGCTGTGACATGAAGGCACGCAGTTTGTTCTTGGACTGGAACTCCCCTAACCGGCACACATCACAACTGTCGCTTTGCCCGGCCACTGGGTCCCACCGGGGGCTCGGACTGTCCTGTCCTGTCTTCCCTTCCCTTCCCTCCCACATCTGCATCTCGCAGTCCCCACGGCCAGTGGGGACCTGACCATGGCCAGGCCGGCCGAGTGCATGGAACCTTCTGTCGCCGACTGTCCCAGCACTGCCTTTGTGCACCTGCCTTTGGGTCGGGCCGTGCCCTGCCAAGGCAGGCAGACCCCCATGTGTAGGACTCCTTGAGTTCATTCTTCCTCCGTGTGCTTGGGGGACCCCGGAGCGCCCCGGTGCCTGCCCGCACTCATGCTCAGGTTTTGTCCCCCGTCTTTGTAAATTTACATGTATATTGTTTGAAAATGTAAACTATTCACATGGTTCAGACGTCAAAATTGCGGGAAACCTTCGACTCAGACGTGCAGTCTCTACCCTGTCCCTCCCGCCCCATCCGCCCCTGCACACGGTAACTTGGTAACTTGGTCATTCATTAGTTCATGTTTCTCTGTTCCCGGGTTTTTTGCAAAAACGAGCTTATTACCCCCCCGCCCCCCATTCTCACCCAAACCGTGGCGTGTTGTGCTGCTGTTTGCAGCTTGCCCCCCAGCGTCCCGTGGCCTTCTCCAACTGTCACACGCTCCTCCCGTGAATGAGAAGTGAGGCTCTAAGTGTGGCACTAAGCCAGCTACCCCCCTCCCCGGGAGCTGGTCTGGCCAGTAGGCACAGGACCTGAGCCTCCGGCCCCCTGAGGATGTGACGGCGTGGGGGGGGGGGCAGGGGTGTGGCCCAAGCCAGCCGCTCATTGGGGGAGGAGCCGGGACATCAGAGCACCCACCGCTCATGTCACCCTGGGTTTCCTCCTCCTGAAGGGACAGGAAATCCTGGGGGTTAAAAGAAGAGTTGAGTGTGTAAATAAAACGAGTTATTTTTCAGCCATTTAAAAAGAATGAGGCTCTGACACTTTCTGCAACACAAAGGAACCCCAGGAAGGTCCCTCCAAGGGAGAGAAGCCCAACATGGCCTGTTTGCGTTGGGAGCTCAAGGCTTGGAGGTCTCCCTGGCCGGCAGATCATACAGGGGCAGTCAGGGACTGTTGGTGGGGAGGGGCGGGGCAGGGAGGGGCAGTCAGGGAAAGGGGAGGGGGAGAGGGGCAGGGAGTGATTGTTGGTGGGTGAGAGATAGCATAAGGGATGACATCTCGATGCTGGCAGCATAATACGGAGCCTGCTGAATCACACTGAAATGCATATTTTATTTTATTTCATTTTTTAAATATACTTTTTTAAAGATTTTATTTATTTGACAGAGGGAGAGAGATCACAAGTGGGCAGAGAGGCAGGCAGGGGAGGGGGGGAAACAGGCTCCCCGCTGAGCAGAGAGCCCGATGCAGGGCCCGATCCCAGGACCCTGGGACCATGACCTGAGCTGAAGGCAGAGGCTTTAACCCACTGAGCCACCCAGGCGCCCTTTTAAGATGGTTTTTATGTGTATTTAGTTGAATGTCACCTCAGTTAAAAAAAAAAGGACAGGGAGGTCAAGTACTGAAGAGAAAGACGACAACGTGGTGGTCTTCAGTGCAGACCCTGGAGCCCTAACGCCTGGGTTTGACTCTCGGCTCTGCCACTCGTGAGCTGTGTGACCCTCCACGAGTTAATTTACATCTCTGTGCGCTAGTTTCCTCATCGGTAAAATGGGGATAACGATAGTAGAGGTGGTTTCGAAGATTAAATTAGTTAATATGTGTAAGTGCGTAGACTTGAGCCTGACATATCCTAGGAGTGATGGAGGGATTAGCTGTTTTGATCGTTATTAGAGTTTCTGGCAGAGAGTAGCTGCTCTCTGGGCTGAGTGGGATTAGGTTTGCTGTAACAGGGCCTGGCCAGCCAGCCCTCCGCAGGCCAACCTCCAAGATCCCTCCAGCCACGCAAGGTGGGAGGTTTTCCGTAGGTCTGTGGTCCCGGTGGGAGTCCCTGCGAGCAGCTGTCCTGTCCCCTGAGCAGGCTGGGGATGTGGGAGCCTCCCACGAGGGCATCTACACTGGACTGTGGACCGTCCCCCCCCGCCGCCCCCGTGACCACACCAGTCGATGTATCTGTTTAGTTCTCAACGGATACTTAGGTGGTTTCCAGTGTGGGCTTCATGAATGGTGGTGCTGGGAATGTTCTGGAGCCCAGGAATGTTTGCCTTTCTGTCAGAGATTAATTATCATAGATTTACGGAGTTGACACCAGGTGGTATAAACTGCCCAGCTTTGTGCCTCCACAAGCTTATCTTTCTTGTTGGGCCCTTTCATTTACTTGAATACTTTTTAATTTCAAAAAAAAAAAAATTACCCGATGTCATGTGAGAAAGAAGAAACATCTGTCTGAAAGTTTCGACACGGAAGCAGCGACATGATTGTATATTTCACGAGCTGGATTGTTGTCATTTTGAAAATAAGGAGCAGGAGTTACTTCTTTTTTTTTTTTTTTAAAGATTTTATTTATTTATTTGACAGACAGAGATCACAAGCAGGCAGAGAGGCAGGCAGAGAGAGAGGGAAGCAGGCTCCCTGCTGAGCAGAGAGCCCAGTTCGGGGCGCGATCCCAGGACCCTGAGATCATGACCTGAGCTGAAGGCAGAGGCTTAACCCTCTGAGCCACCCAGGCGCCCCTACTTCTGAAGTCAGTAAGGAGGACCCCGTCTCCCAGAGGAGAACGAGCAGGTCACCTGCGGGGATCTGACCTCCCAGAGCCCCACACTCCCCTCCTCCACCCCGCGTGCTTGGTCCCTGGGATGCAGCGAGGACGGCCAGCGTCTGCCCCCCCGTGTTGCACGGCGCACGGTCAGGAGGCAATCTGAGGACGTCCCCCTCTTTTGGCAGGATCAGGGGACAGAGACCAAGGCCGTGTCTGAAACTCTCAAGGACATCTTGAAGCACCTGGTTGGGGCTGCGTCTCCGTCGGTGGTTCTGAGCACCAAGCCCGTGGACTCGAGGGACGTTCAGGTGAGCCGCGGAGGGTGGTGCCTCACGGCCCGTTAGGGCTTCTGGTCCCCCTCCTGCAGGGGAGTCTGCATGACCAAGCCTCCTGCCCCCCGCCGCCGTGGTAGAGAGGGAATGCCTGACTGTTTGCTGGGCGACCACGGCCTGTGGTTAGTGATGTGCTGCGAGTTCAGGGCAGGGGTTCCAGAACCCCGTGGGATAGGAGGAACAGGTGTCTGGGCTGCTCTGCACGCTCCAACCTTAATTAGCCCTGACTCCATGCCTTTCTGGAGCTGAAACTTGACTTTCCACTGTCCACTCGGGGCCTGTGGCCTTAGAGCTCGACTTCCCAGGACCGAGGCATCTGGGAAACCTAGTTAGCTATGAAAACAGAGAGAGCTGCTGTTCCGGCCTACAGGCTAGCAGGCATGAGAGCCACGGAGAGCTGGTGTCTCCACTCGAGTCTAAAGGCAGGGAAAAAACCAACACCGCAGCGTGAAGCCGGTCAGGCTTGAAGAACCCCCTTTTCAGGAGAGGTCAGCCTCTTTTCTAGCAGACCTTCAACTGATTGGGTGAGGCCCACCCACATTAGGGAGGGCCGTTGCTTTCACGGGGTCTTTTGATTTAAATGTTGACTTCATGTGAAAACAGCCTCGCGGAAACACCCAGGACAGCATTTGAACAGATACTGTGCATCCCCGTGGCCCTGTCACGTTGACACATACAATTAACCACCACACGTAGACAACCGAAATATTTCCTCCCCACCCCTGACATGTGAATGCTCTGGCCCCAGTGCTCATGGGCTTGGATCCTAAGGACTCCTGTGGTGACTTCTTGCAGCTCACAGTTGGCAAGGTCCTGGTTCACAGTAGTGGTTTTTAAATGGTGACCTTGAGATGTTGGGAAGCTTGCTCCCCAGAGAAACGTCCAAGTCAGATCAGTGCCCAGGAGCCCTTCCTGGAAGGCTCTGTGTGCATCTCTGAGAAGCCTTTCCAGGACTCCCAGGCCTTGGTACTTAAGAGACCCCCCACACCCTGCTTTTTTAAAGATTTATTTTTATTTTTATTTATTTGAGAGAGAGAAGGAGGGGGGAAAAGGAGAGAATCTGAAGCAGACCTGCCCTGAGCACGCAGCCCGACGGGGGCTCCATGCCGCAAGTGCAAGGTCAGGCCCTAAGCCAAAACCGAGAGTCACACACTTGACTGACCGGGCCACCCCGGGCGCTCTGGGACCCCTCGTAACGAGCACTCTCAGCCACGAGGGAAGGCAGGAAGCCAGTTTGGGAAACAGTTTACGGTGAGGCCCTCTGGGTTAAAGGAGACTTTTCTCTGTTGGAAATGCCTTGATGCCCATCTGAGAGCATGATTATGGACGCCTCTGTCACTGCTGTAGTCCATCACCCGGATGACACTTAGACACCCCCACCTGGGGTGCGGACCTCCCGGGTGGCCCTCGCCGTGCGTGTGTGTGTGTGTGTGTGTGAGAGAGAGAGAGAGAGAGAGAGGCTGGCGTCCCGCTCGGAGCCGGTGGGCAGTGGGCACCTGCAGCCTGGAGCGGGCGTCCCCCTCTCTCGCCAGCACCTGGCCTGGGGCAGTGGACCCAAGGTGAGCTTTGCTTCCGGGCTGCACTCACAGCCAGGTTCCGGGGAGCCCTCTCTGGCTGAGCGCCCCGCCGCTTCCCGCGGGTTACTTGGGTAGAAAAGGCTCCGAGGCAGGGGCAGAGGCTATGGTGGGTTGGGACCCTCCCTTCCCCTGAGAACGGAAAACTGTTGCGCAGCCCACCGCAGGGTCAGCCCCCAGCCCTGGCGGATTTTCCCCGAAGACGCTGCCCCGTGACAGGGGTCCGGTGACAGGGGTCCGGTGGCGCCTCCTCTTCTCCCCGGTCACTCGTCTTGATCTTCTCTCTGCAGAATCTACAGCGCATTTCATCCTCTCCTCAGGAGTCCTGCCCGCCCAAGCCTCCCAGGGCTCACGAGCTCAGGTTGCTGGTGAAGAACATCCGGGCTTCGCTGCTAAGTGCTCCTGGGGCTTCAGGCAGGTGGCCGGGCTGCTCCGGGGGGCACGGGGGGCGGGGGCTGCCCGCCGCAGAAGTGACCGTCCCTCCATACAGCAGCGTGCGGGGTGACGGTGGGTTCTCCGCGGACTCTGGGTCCCCATGGCGCCCTCCGACTGGGTCTGCTGTGTGATCCCAGCCGGCGAGCCCAGAGCCTCTGAGAACCAGACGAGTACCGTGAGATGGTCACACGCCAGTCCCGAGCTTGCGTGCAGGGAGAGCGAGGGAAGAAAGGAATTCAGTCATGACCTTGCCCTTTTCTTTCATCTGGAAGGCACTCCCTTGCCTTTTTTAAACTATTGAACGCGTAAACCCACGCTGGGCACCCCTGACTGATACGTGATGAGCACCTTCTCCTTTCCCAGAAGCCCGGGTTCCTTGTGGGCGCTTTAGCAAGCGTCAGGAGGGCTTCGGGCCCACTGGGGACCCTCTGGCAGTAGGAGAGGCTGTTATCTGAGTCAGGACAAGTTGCAGACCCCAGATCGTTCTCTTTGGGCGATCCTGAGTGGCTGGCGAGACCCCAGGTGCACAGCCTCCTGGGATGGGTCCCATCTTCCCACTGTGATTTGATTTTGCTGAGAACAGGAAGGAATTCTTTATTGTCTGAGAATGCTAAGCGTTACTTAATGTTCACGGAGTCTTCCTGTCCCCAAAGCACAGACTGTCCACGTTTAACAAGTGGAGAGACTTGGCAGGGCTAGCTGTGGGGGATGGCCTCAGGGGTCCCTGTTCCTCGCAGGCAGGTCTGCATCTGGGTCTCTGTGTCTCCCGTTGGAGGTGATCTCGAAGATCAGTTAAGACCGTGGGTGTGGAATGCTTAACGCTGTGTGACGTCTGGTCCCGTGGTCACTGGTGACACAGCATATTGACAGCTCCTTGCCATGGGACAGGCATGGTCTTGCAGCAGAAAGAATTGTTGACTAGGGAAATGTCCCATTACTCAGATCCAAGCTCTCCAGACAGGGCTCTGACTAAGCTGAGTCAGGGATAAAATCACATCCCTCGTAAGTAGGGATACGGGTTCTCTGGGGGGTATCCCCCAATTTAGGGATCATCCCAGAGGCCTTTCCTTGCACAAGCTGGTCGTCTTGTCCAGAAATGGGGGGCCACTTCTGCTGTCATAATGTCCCTGGGGAGTGTCCCCCATCACGGGTGAGGAGCAGGGGCTCCTGGGGTCTGCCCTCCAGGCCAAGAGATACCAAGTTGGGGATCGAAAATCTTAAACCCCCAGAGAAGTGCTTTGAGAGTTGGTTCATGATGGAAGAAAGAGCAGTCCCGGAGAGGTGGGCGAGCCAAGACGTCAGGCGTTTAATTTGGCCTGTTATATGCAAAGTGTGCACGCGTCTCTCAATTTAAAAAATAGAAACACCCCTTTGTTTGATTGCAGGCAACGTGAACCCACAGTGTGTAGTTCGGCTGAACGAGCCCGTTCAGAAGTTCAGCGCCCTCGCGACAAACCACGCCGACCTCAGCTGGGAAGAAGAATTCATCTTGTGCGTACAGCCTGGTTAACGGGCTTGCGCCGGCCGAGCGCCCCGCTCACGGCTGCCAGGTCCCAAGATCAGTGTGTAACAGTGCTCAAACCCTAAACACAGACAGGCATTCGCTCTCGAAAAGGTGTATTAAACATCCGAGGTAGCTTTAGGTTGATCTGGGTTCCTTTCTGAAGGCAGCTCCGGGGCTGGGTTTCCTCCTGGCCAGTGTCCTGCTGTGGCCAGAGAGCACGCTGGTCAGGCTCCCTTGACTTTGGAGATACCCACCTTCTGGAGCGCAACGGAGGACCCTTGGGTTTGATACCGGAACCTGGCTGGGAACGAAGGGAAAAGGACGGCCCATTTATAAGAAATGGTGTGGGAATTCTAAGGAATGTATTAAGGAGCCGGGTTCAGCCCAGAAATGTCCAGACGGCTTTGGGAGAGCAAGTCACTGAATCCATTGCGATGTTAGATCAAAGGAGAAAACGTACTTATCTCCGTACATGCTGAGAGGACCGTTGACTTTCCCTGCGCATTTCTGACTTAAAACCTTAACTAGTACATGATTTATGGCCTCTTCTATAATAAGCTAATAGAAATCACCGTAAATGACAAAGACCAGAAGGGGTCCCAAGTGAAAGCCAAGAGGAAGATGCCCGCTGTTTTGTTCTGGAAGCACGAGTAGTGCACTTAGCGGCGGAAGGGGGAGGTGTCTGAGTAGGAAAAGGCTGAGGCAAAACGGATTATTACTTGGAGGTGATAGGACTGCCTGCCTAGACAACCCAAGAAAATCAGTTAAAACTACAGAAATAATCATAGGAAACTCATGTAAATAATATTTCAGTAAAGCAGCCGACTCTAAAACTAGAAATCACTTGCTTTCTGAGGCTTGAACAATGAACAGCCCGAGAGAGGACAGGCAGCAGGTGTCCCGTGTGTAATGTAAAGAGCTTTTATGAATTAGTAATGAAAATACGAGCGCTGTCCCGGAAAACCGGGAAGAACGTCTGAGCTAGAAAACAGAAAAGCCAAAACTGTAGGTAGCCCGAGACTTCTGAAGACATGTTCGAATCAGCAATAGTTTAAGAAACACAGATGTAAACACAAGAGACCGTTTTCTCACCGTACAAGTTGGTAAGGAATAGGTGGGTGACAATGGCCAGTAGAAGTATACATTGGAATGACCGTTCTGAAAGTCCTCAGTATGTCTCAAAAAAAAAAAGAAAAAAAAATCTCTTAAATGCATGTAGCTTTTGTCTGGCGTTTACAGTCTTTCTAAGGAAATAATCACACGGTGCGCACAAAGCTAGGTCGAAGGGTGTTTATCTCAGCTAGTTTGTAATTATGAAATGTTAGACACAACCAGGCCATTATTAAGGGTTGGTTATTAAGGATCGGATTAAAGAAAACCTCCTAAGGCCGGATAGGAGGAGGCTGGATAGCTGTTAAAAGGGGGCGTTGCTCTGTACCGTCTGACCCCGAAAGAGGTCTGATATCTTAAGAGAGAAAAACAGGTTACAAGAGGAGCGAGATACATCGCGGTCTGTGTTTTGTTTTTCGATAATTATATAGCTACGCTTTTGCATACAGGAACTACGAGCCACATGTGGCTTTTTAAGTCTGAATTAATTAAAATGCAGCAAAATTCAGTTCAGGCCCCCCGGGGGCACGGCACTCAGACGCCCTCCGTGGCAAGCAGCCGCCGTGTCGCACAGCGCGTAGATAACCCCGCCGTCAGCCAGAGGCAGCAGAGAATTCTCAGATAACAGCAACCGCTGGGGGCTGGCGAGGTGGAAGATAATCTTCATACCGTTGGAGATGTGTGTTTCTTTCTAGAGTCAGAAACAAAATACCGTTTCAAGAACTGATAAAGGATTGACAGCACTTTTTGTCCTTTCCGCAGTGAGTTGAGCGCCAAGTCGAAGGAGTTGCACCTGCAGGTGTCGGGGGGTGAGCGAGCCTCGGCCTCGGAAGGTGGGTGTCGCGGGTAGAGGGAGGCCCTGCTCTCTGGGAGGGGTCACTGACCGGAGTGGGGCTGGAGACGCCGGGAGGGGCGGACCCCCTGACACCTCGGGTCTTCCGAGGCCGCGTTTGCTTCCAGGTCCACTTCAGTCATTAGCAAGGGCGTACGTTCTGGGAGAATGTACTCAACTTGTTTTTGCCTTTTTTTGTTTTAAACAAATACCTAAACTCTTTTATTCAGCAGTTCTTGGCTTAGAGAAGCCCCTCTCAGCCTTCTTAGCCTTAATAGATCTGCTCTGTAGTGTTCCTAATTGTGGTAAATGCATGTAACACAGAAATTCCCACATTGACCATTTTTTAGTGTAAAATTCACAGGCGTTAAGTACATTCCCACTGGCGTGCGACCTTCAGCACCATCCACTTCCCGAATTTTTTCCTCTTGCTGGGCTGAGACCCTGTCTTCCCCATTCCCTCCTCCCCCAGCCCCTTCGACCCCCCCCCCGCCCCCGGCCCCGGCATTGTGCTTTCTGTCTCAATGGATTCCGGCTCGCTTTTCCTTATAAAATAAGCCACAGCAGCTTACACTGGACACATGCTTTAGAGACAAGAAAGCAGCAGTTAAAGGTAAAATCGTGAACGGGAACACGGACCTATATGTTTGCATGTGTGTAACTCAGGAGTTTGGGAATATATTAGGCTTTTAAAAATGCCCATAAACATACCAAAATTAGGAGAGGGGGACCCTTCCGTGGCTTATCCTGCTAAAAGACCAAGCCATTGGGTTGTCTCCCAAAGTTACAAAGACACAGGAAAAGGCATTTCAAATTTCTGTTTATTAGCAAGAATTTTCTTTTATAAGATTTTAAGTTTTCAAAGATTTATCTTAGAGGAGGAGGAAGGGGCAGAGGGAGAGGGAGAGAGAACTCTCCAGCAGAACCCTGCAGAGTGCAGAGGCTGACCCCAGGACCCCGAGACCATGACCTGAGCCGAAATCAAGAGTCGGCTATTTAACGGACGGAGCAACCCGGGCGCCTCCCCCCACCCCCCCCATTAGTAAGAATTCTGAGCTAATTTCCTTGGTTCTGTTGTCTTGGGATAAGATCTGAGAGGTGCCTCTGACATTCCAAGAGAGGGCGTGGCCAGAACAGGGCGTGGTTTGACCCGGGGTGGGCGGGGTGGGCGGGCGGACGTTTGCCGGGAGAAGCGGACCGTCCATTCCCGAGGCACCGAGGCTTTTGGCTCCTTTGGAGATCCGCCGCTGTACAGCCGGATGGGATCTCTGAAATTTCACATTAAAAACAAAAACCAAAAACAGGACAAAGGACTACCGCAGAACCTTTACCAGACTCCCGGAGTTCTGACATTTGCCCCGTTCGCTTTATTATCTGCACTCGCACTTGGTGGTTGCTTTTGATTATGCCTGCAGACGCCCGGACACAGGACACACGCTGGAGGGTGAATTTGAATGTTTGAGGGTATCGGGCCCTGCACCCTCCTTGCTTCGGGGCATTTCCTAAGAATAAGGACATTCTCTCATACGTCTGCACCGGTTTCCCCGACCTGCCGCCCGTGTTCCCCTTCATCGGCTGGGCCAGCACCCCGTGGAGCAGTTACCCCCACTCCCCCGGATCAGACACTGCCTTCTGTCTGCTGTCTCTTAGCCTCCTGGGGTCTGGAGCATGTCCAACGCCTCTCTTCGCCTCTGGTGTTGTAGAACGTTCTGAAATGTTCTGGACCTGGAGGATGCTGGTGCGGACCTGGTGCGCACCAGGACTCTGTTCTGGTTGCGGTGGTGGCTCCCGCTGACCCCTGCTCCCGTGGAACCCTGTGGAAACATACCCTTACTTGTCTCCTATCTTTTTAGCCGTATTGGCGACGACAACCATTCCTTTGGATTTATTCAAGAAGCAGCCGTCTGGGCCCCAGAGCTTCACGTTGACCGGCGGCTCCTGCAGCAGCTCAGTGCTGGGTTCGGTCACCGCGGAGGTACGACGTCATTCCCCGCCGGGGCCGAGCTCCACCTTGACCGGCTTGAGATTAGGAATATCTTTACCTGTCGGTCGTCTTAACGTGTTCTTCAGCGGGAAATGGGACGCTCGCTCACCGAAGAGGAGCTCCTCTTCCGTCCTGTGCATTTCTAGACTCGAATGGGACACTGCGCCCACGATCGTGTTGAGTGGTCTGCCGCATGGCGAGCTTTCCACGGTGCCGGGTCACGCGGGCCTAACCCCGGAAAGGGCCCTTCGATTTCGCTGGGTTCTCCAGCCTCGGTGCCCGTCGCCAGGCGCTGCGTGACGGGTTCTTGTCACCCTCTGTCGTTTCTGGGAAAACCCAGACTGATGGCTGGATGGCTGTGGTACTAAGCGGGGCTGACCGACGAAGCCAGGGGTTACGGCACGGGAGGGCGGCGTGCATGCCCAGGGGTCGCGTGGGCACAGCACCAAACGCGTAACCGGCTTTCTCTGCAGTTTTCTTACCTAGAACCCGGTGAAGTGAAACCCAAGACCCCGCCACCTACTCCTGCCACAAAGGTCGAAAAAGACCGCACGGTGATGCCCTGTGGGACCGTGGTCACCACCGTCACCGCCGTGAAAACCAAGCCTCGCTTTGACACGGGGAGAGCGTCCCCCCTGAGCTGCGGTGAGTGCGGCCCGGGAGCACCTCAAGGTGGCGGGAAGCGCCGGCTGCCGGGGCAGGTGTGGCTCCGACGACGGTCTCGTGTGCAGGGAGGAGGGTGACTGACGAGACTCCCAGCTTCCCGCTTCTCACCGGTCACCTTTCTCTGTTGTCAAACGCGCGGCTGCCCAGGCAAGTTCAGCTCGAGCGCACGCTGGAGCGCCGAACCTGGCCGTGCGGGGAAGTGATCTAGTTCAGTGAACTTCCCGCTCACTCCCGCGGGGACGGCCGGCCCACTGTCTTGAAACCTTCGATGGAGGCCATCGGTGCAAGTTCGTAGGAGGAGAATCCGTTTTCTAGAAGGGCCCGGGGTGCAGTCACTTTCGACCCAGCCGAGTTCTGCACCTGTCTCCCTAGTCTCTACCGCAGAGACAACCTCCGCGTACGGGCTTACTGTTTTATTTTCATTTATACTGTGTTTCCGCTTCCAGATAGATAACGTATCATCTTCCCAGGGCCGGTTTCCTGGCCCCGCTGTTCTTGACTACAAAACAGAGAGTGAAATTCTGGCTTTTGATGAAAGTTTCTGAAATTTTATTTAAACCCAGGTTCCCAGCATCCTTTTGGGTACTTGCCCCCTCATACACCCCTGCACCCCACCCCAAAATGAGAGACGGTTAAAAACATCTGAACGGCTGGGGTTCCATGAAAGCGTGATTTCACCTTCCGCGAACTGTAGGGTCAGGTGGCTTTTGGGGCCATTGTGATCCGGATTTTCTCCTGGCAGAGTCTCCCCTGAAGACGCCTGTCAAGGTGAAGGTCATTGAGAAGGACATCTCTGTTCAAGCCATCTCCTGCCATGGGGCTCCTGTCAGTAAGACCTTCTCTTCTTCGGACACAGGTAACGGGCCGCAGGCTCACCGCATCCTTCTCCCTCCTTCCAGGCTCTTCTCCTGTCTTTCTCATGTGCCCCCAGGTCAGCATTTCCTTTTTGGAGTTTGGGAGGCGCTGTTTTGAGCACTAAGAGCAGAACAGGGAGGAGGTGGGGGGAACGGAAGCCAGGCAGAGACCAGGGGTGGTGTTAAGTTCTAGCAGATGCTTTCACAAAATAAACATAAAATCCCAGTTTATGCCTCATGTTATAAAATTTGAGCATGATTTTCCCCTCGCTCAGTATACCAGTGCTATGACTAACACCCAAGAGGCAGGACCCAGGGGTGTAACTGTAAAGGCGGCTTTTCTTCTCCCGTTGCCCCAGAGAAGCTGCTCGTTAGGCTTGGTCTCCCCCAGAACTCTGCTCGCAAATGCCCATTGTTACGGTCACGCCCAGTGTCTCTGGGGAGAGGGGTTCCTGCCTCCTTAGGTCAGAGCCCGATCTAAACTTGGGGATTACGTTTGCCCCCTTTGCTCGGGGGCGACTTGCTGTCGGAGGGAGGGCAGGGGGGCTCCTTCTCTCCGGCTCACCTCTCCCCATCCTCTCAGTCCTGTTTCTGGTCTCACAAAGGGTTAGGAGGAGAGGACGGGGGGCAGGGAACTCTCATCTGATGGGCGCGCCGTCTTAGGACGGCTTCGGATCCCTGCAGCTGGTGAAGCTGACACTGCCTGTCCCATGGGGGTGGTCACGGTTCTCTGGAAACCGCAGGCTCCCCCCAGCTGCAGTCCCTAGACGCAGGCCTTGTCCCTCCGCTGGCTGGCCACCCCCAATGCCCCTTCTGCCCCTGGTGGAGCGTCCCACTGCCTCAGACCACAGGGACCCCTTCCCCCGTTCAGGATCGCTTTTTAAAAGGGCTGACGTTCCCACCGTGGGTTTCTCTCCCACTCCGTGGGCAGTGGAGTCAGCCCCCAGATCAGCTCCCTGGGCCGCCTGTGGCCACTGAACCCTTCTCACGCACTCCCAGCACCTGGACAGGGCTTTGAAGGACATCTCCGAGCCACCGGGCCTGGCATGAAGTGTTGGGAACGACAGTGCCGCGCTCCCCTGGGGGGTCCTCGCCAGCCCCCTCCTCGCGAGCCTCTCCCTTCGCGCTGCGTGGTGGTCAGGCAGTGTGTGGCCGCGTCGGCCCTGAAATGGAGCACTTGTTGTCCGTCGTCTGAGCTGAGACGGGAGATGCCCCGTTAGCGTCCAGCCCTCCGATGGCCTTGTGTTTGCCTCTGCCCGAGCAGGAGCTGCCCCAGGGAAGGGACAGACGGGCACGAGCCGGGCATCGGGGACCTTGGCAGTACTGCTCCCCCCCACCTGAGCTACCTGACATCCCCCCACGTCTCAGGGGCGCACGCCTCACAGGGTGAGGGGATGGGGACACGTAACACTGTGCTGTGAGCCTTCCACAAGCCCCTGCTAGGTGTCCGGCCTCCCACAGGTGTTGGCCAGGTGTAGGGTACGGACCCCGGGAATGAGCTCACAGCAGCCCACTGTGCTGAGCCGCAGTCGGGAGGGGAAGGAGTGACTGCGTTGCCTCCCGAAGTTCAGAATCTTCTGAAAGGTGGGAGGTTTTTTGTGGGTGGGTCTTCCTGCTTTCGTTGGTCTCTATCAACTCTAGGGAGGTCTGGCTGGCAGATATCTGAGGGCAGAGATCTGAGTAAGTACACAGCAGCGAGTGCATGGAACCATCCAGAAGGAGCTGTAGGCCGAGGGGGGTCTGTGAGCCAGACCCGGCCCTGTTTGTAAACTCCTCGGAGCCCGGCCTTGTGCGATGGTGTCCACACAGGCTCAGCCTGCACAGGACCGAGGCCACCGTAAGTGCCACGGCCCAGGCTGGCCCACAGAGCTGCGCCCATTTGCTCTCTGGCCCTTTCCAGAGGAGACCTGGGGGCCTTGCCTGGGGACCGTTTCCATCAGCCCTGCAGGTCCGCAGGCTGGAGCGTAGCGTGCTCAGGGCTGCCTTCCCTCCCGCAGAGCTGCTGGTGCTGAACGGCTCGGACCCCGTGGCTGAAGTGGCCATCCGCCAGCTCAGCGAGTCCTCGAAGCTGAAGGTCAAGTCCCCGCGGAAGAAGAGCACCATCATCATATCAGGGATCTCCAAGGTGCGGCTCGTGCCCGCGCCTGCGCCCCTCCGTGGCCGAGCTCCCTCCGTGCAGAAGGCGGCCCGAGCTCCCGGTGTCGTCCAGGCAGCTCCCTGCCGAGGGCCAGCGCCGGGGGTCACCCGTGTTTAGGCCGCTGTCCCTGTCGTGGGGAAGCTGGCGGGTTCTGGCCCCGGGGGCTCTGGTTGGTGAGCGGCCAGTGAATCGTGTGCAAAACTATTGAGACAGAGAGACTGGCCTGCCTGAGGCCCCATCTGGGGACAGAGCTGTGACCCTCTCGCAGGCCGACATGTCCCTAAAACACTGAAGGTGTTGGCCGTGAGTGTGCTTTTGCAGTCAGAGACAGATGGTGTAAGTGTCCCCTGGCCGCCGCTCGTGCGCTTCCCCGTGCCGGCGGTGCAGAGTCCGTGCTGGGCCCCACACAGGCCGGGCCGCCAGAGGGGGCAGCCCTGCAGGGCCGGGGGCCACGCGAGGGTCCCGTGCGCGTGTTCGACATCTCCAAATGAGCAAGGAGACTGCGGGCAAGGAAGGGGCCGCTGGGAGATGTGGTCGTTGTCGGGGAGGGGGAGCAGGAAGGCTCTGAACCCAGAGGGCAGGGCAGTGCCTGGAGGGTAGGAGAGCGTGGCCGTCTACAGCTCATGCCCAGGTGGGTCATGGGAGGGGCCGGCATGAGCTCCCGGTGCTGTCATTATACGCAGGGCCTCCACGGCCAGCGCCCAAGTCCCCGCTGCCCAGGCCCCCCGCCCCGGGCTCCCGGCCTTCCTGGGCGCACTTCCAGCGGCGGCCGGCAGGGGGCGGCGGCATCAGGAGTCCAGAACTCCGTCCTCTCCGGTTCCCGGAGGCTGTATCTCCGACTCACTAGGAACCTGCGGCTCTTTATTGGGATGTGTCCAACCCACGGCAGTGACGAGGCTTCATGGAGGCTCAGACGGCCCCGTCCTCAGTCAGCGGGCTCTCTGCCAGCCACGTGTGGCTGCCCGTGGTCAGGAAGCGGGCGGCCCCGGGGAGCCCACGCCCCTTGCAGTCACCTTCCCGGGCTCCAGCCCACCGGCCCCGAGGGTTAGGGTAGCACCTGCACCTGTCTTCGGCACCAGGAGGTCACACACGGACTTCTCAGGTCGCCGTGTGCCTGCCGATTGGGTTCTCCGTGCAGGGAACAAACTCCCGTGGGAAGAAGTGTTGACAGACCAACCGAAGGGACAGCCCACTTCCTGTGCCTCCCGGTGTGCTGCAGGCCACTTGGGCGGAAGTGTCTCCCTCCTGTGGGCCCCCCCGCCGGGGAAGGCTGTCTGCTTCCTCCACACCCCTCACCTGTGACCTCAGGTGCCCCTCGCAGACCCTCTGCGGCGAGGGGAAACCCTCAGTGGCTGCGTTTCAGTCCCTGTGAAACCCGCCGTGCCTCCTGGGGGAGCTGTGGGCTGGTGTCTTCTCACACTCTGGAATCACCCTCAGGACCTTTGCACGGAGCTTTTCATCTCTTCCAAGCCCGCGGCTCCTTTCATCTGTCCTTGCCACCACCCCTCATGCTAACTTCTTTCTTTTGTCCTGGGACAGACCTCACTCTCTCAGGACAATGCCGCTGCCCTAATGCTGGACTACTCGGCCTCCATGGACAGCGCCCACCAGGAGGACACCCCGACCCTCGTGGGGGCGGCCGCTGCCTCTGCCCCACTGCAGGAAGAGGCCTCCGCCCCACTGCAGGAAGAGGCCTCTGCCCCAGCCCCGCCGGCCCCGGAGCCCCAGGAAGGCGAGCTAGACTCCTGGGACTTGGACAAGGAGTCCCAGGCCTCGGCGTGGGGCAGCCAGGCCCCGCTGGACCTCGACGGGGACGAGCTGTCAGAGAGCTCCCTGAGTGTCTCAGAGCCGGGCACTGCCAAGAAGCATAAAGGTACCCACACCTGCGCCCCCTGCCCCCCGGCCCACCCGCTGGCTTTCCTCTCCTTCCCCTCTCCAAGCTAACCCTCAGTTCCCATCCCCGGCTTCCGCTCCCTCTGCTGCCAGGCCACCCTGCCCTTGGCACCCCGCCCCAGGAAGCAGGGGTGCCCCTGCCCGGAGCCAGTGGGCAGGCGGCATATTCAGAATCCTTCCGTCTCTGCCCCGAGGGCAGCAGTTTCTGGTCATGCCTAAAGGGGCCCTTTCCTCTGTTGGCACTCTGCCCCGCCCCCCCAAAATAGAACCCTCCAGAACGTTTAGAGGGGGTCACCCAGCGACTCGGCACGAAGCCAGCAGACCCCGGGCTTCTGTGGCTGTGGAGACTGGCCCCTCTGCTCACCGTGCCTCAGGCTCGTCCCTCCAACTAAAACCCGGCCCGACCTCAGTGCTCGGACCTGCTGGGGTCTGAGGGGAGAGACGTTCCCTGGGAAAGGAAGCAGTTAACTTGCCGTGTGTGTGTGTGTAGTGACCAGTCGTCCTGTCCTGAGGATGACCCGTTGTTCTCCGTTAGCACCACATCGAAGCTTTGCATTTGTAGACTTTGTCCGTGTGTGTGCTTGACTTGGGCTCTCGCATGACAGTCCCCCTCGAGGCCCTTTCTGAGGCGAGACAGTCCAGGGGCTCGAGGGCCGTTCTGGGTGGGAGGGTGAGGGAGGGTCAAGCCTCCTGGGCCTCGGCTCCTCTGCATGAGGCTGTGTCACCTCCCAGGCGGGAACAAGGCGATCCCAGTGCAGAGACGGGACGGGAGACAGACGCAGGCGCCTGGTCCCAGCTGGGCGTCGTGGGTGCCGCTTAGCACGAAGTCCTCGCCCCTCCCCTCCCGGCCCCCGAGAATGCAGACAGGAGGCCGTCTCGTCACTCCCGAGGTCGGGAAGCCTGGTTAGCAGCTCTGCGGCTGCCTCGCTCTGCTCCTCTCCTCTTGCCGCCACTGACCAGTGGTTCTCAAACTGGGTGACCGTGCGCCCCCTGCCCGTCCCCCCCAGGGGACACAGCTGTGTCCGGAGGCCGTTTCACCGGCCACAGCTGGGGGCTGGGGTGCTGCTACGCAGCCTGCAGGATGGCCTGGCACATGGTGGCCCATGTCCCTGGGGCTGAGGTTGAGGACTCTGCGGGGTGGGGGGAGGGTCTGCTCCACGGGGGTCCACGTGAGCCACACCCTTGCTGAAGCAGAGAGGGCACAGATGGGGACCCGCTGGAAGTTAGAAGGAAGAGGATAGCATCTCTAGGCCATGCAACAGAGATCAGACCGTGGGCCTCTGTCCACCTGCTGGCCCGAGTCAGAGTGACCGGTGCGTGGACCTCTGGTGGCTCCCTTGTCCCGGTTCAGAAGGGGCAGCCCAGGTGATGGGAAGGGCGGCCCGGCTGCGGGTCCACAGGGCAGCACACACACCCCCGCCCCCCGCCAGCCTGGACTGGGGGCCAGCTCCATGCCCCAGGGAGCTCCTCTAACCCCAAGGAAGCAGTGTGCGCTGGGCAGAGCGGAAGACGAGGTGCAGGGTGGGGCGCCCCTTCCTCCCCCTTCCTTCTCCCGACGGCCAACAGTCCAACAACCCTCCAGCCTGCCCTCTTGCCTTCACTGAGAGGCCGCGCCTCGCTGACCCCGAGTCCATCCAGAGAGCCCCGTTCCCTCCTCCCTGGCTTCTTCCTTCTGCTCCTCCGCTTTTCCTCCCAGAGAGTTCTTTGCCGTGGGTTTCCATCCTGGCTGTGCCATGGCCATGCTTCTCCTTTCCCGTCCCTGGCCAGGGAGAGGGCACCCCTGCAAAGGGGCATTCTGGGGGGAACTGGGTGCTGACAGGTGTGCTTGATGCTCCCCTGGAGCCTGGGCCCCGGGGCCACGCTGCATGTGGCGGTGACTGGTGTCGCTCACCCGCCGGCGCTGTGGATTCGCAAAGGGACGTATGGGGCAGCGTTTCCAAATTTGCTTCTGTTCCAGCGTTTTCGGAGACCCAGACCCTGCATCTCTAGGAGATGTCCGAACCGCGGGCGATTACGGGTGACGGGTGCCCACTCGTTCTTGTGCCCGGGGGTTTTCTCTTTCCTGCCTGGGGCCCAGCGGCTGTGGGGAGCCTTCTCTCCTTTTTAAACTGAAGCTCATCTCCTGGCCGGAGAACCGCGCGTGCCACCCTGTCCCAGCGGGAGTTCCCGCAGGTCCCCCAAACGGCCCGCGTGTTGAGAAGCCTGCGATTTCGCTGGTTGGACACACGCGTTCTTCTGAGGCCGCAGCCAACACAGGAAGTCCAGTCCCCAGATCTGGGCTTATTTTTAGCGTCACCAAGTGTCCGTGTGGTCGCACGGCAAAGGGAAGGCCTGGAACGGGACTGTGGGCTTGGAGGTGGTTAGGACGGGAGAGTCCGTGTCGTGTGGACTTTACCGTAAGGAAGAGCAAAACGATGGATGAAACTTTGACAAATATTAAGGAGTGAAAAAACAAAACCAGACAAACCTCCCCCCCCCCAGCCCCCAAGCCCGGCCAGATATCCTGCCCTGTACCGTCATGTGTGCACAGGCACGGCGCCCCGGGACTCACTGCCTGTCCCCCTTGTTTGGTTCCTGCATACTTTTCTTTTAACCTCTGACCTCTTCCTTCCCGTCATCTTGTGCTCATTCCCTTTAACTTAAGAGGATCGCTATGCCAACCAGAATTAATTGCCTACACAGTAAGTTATTTTTGTCTTATTGTTATTTATTTATTTATTTTTAAATCTGACTACAGCCTTGCCATGAGAAAAGCCTATTTTGCAAGAGCAGGAGGCAGATCCCCCTTCCCTGCTTTCCTGTGCCTTTGTGGCGTGACCTGCCCGGGCTGCTAGTTTCCCCGTGTTCCTCCTCGGACATGCCCTGGTCCCATTAGTGAAGCTCCTTCGCCTCGGGGGTCAGGGCGCTGTCCTTGGCTCAGGGGACAGCCAGCCTCATGCCCGGTCGAGTGCCCACACACCGTTCCCTTTGCTGGGCCCTGGTTCTAACAAGCGGTCCCTTTTCTACACGGATGGTCTATGGTTTGGCTTGACTTCCGGAGCTGTTCTGCGGGCAGCAAACTACAACGTGCCCAGGGACCTTGGTCACTGTCCTCCACCTCTCCGACGGATTCTCTGGTGACCTGTTCATGTCTGTTAGAGTCGGTGGAGGCAAATGAGAATAAATTTGCAGATATTTGCTATACTAAAGCTCCCATTTAGAGGAATTATTTTTGATTCTTTTCCTATTTGTTTATTCTTTAGCCCATTTGTGATTTTTTTTTTAAACCTTGCTAGAACCGGGGAAGATTTTTTTCTCCTCTGTCCCCCATTTAAGACGTTGGGGCTGTTTGTTTCAAATTCCACGTACCTCCTCTCCACATTTTACCTGAAGGAACCTCAAAGGCTCAGGTCTGGGCGGGCGAGGTCTGATTCTCGCTCATGCCCGCTGGAGCGGCCAAGACGGTCTGGAACTCGCTCTGTAAAACCCGGAGCGCTCCAGCCCCTCCTGCTCAGGCCCTGTGACCGTCCTCATCCGCAAAGGTGACAGACTCTGGGGGCCCAGAGGCAAGGGTGACGTTCCAAACTTTTAGTTACCGTCTTAGCCAGAGTTCTCTAGACAGAACCACAGGTGCTACATTTCGGGGAAGCGGCTCACGCCATCCTGCGGTCTGTCTGGAATCTGCGGGGTGGGGCGGCCGGCTGGACAGACTGCTGTCTTCTCCCCAAGGGAGCCCTGGGCGTTGGCTCTCAAGGCGCTGAGCCAATGGTATGAAGGCCAAGCACGCCATCCAGGGTGACGTGCTCTAGTCCGGGAGAGCCAGAGGCACGGTTAACCTCTCCTCTCCCGAGTGCCTTCCCGGGACAGATGAGTGTTGGACTCAGTTACCGGGCACGCTGGACGGGAAGACGCCAGGGACAGAGCAGCACGGTCCCGGGGAGCTGAGGAAGCTCCGTTCCCTGTCCCTTCCCAGCTGACGGGGGTGTGTGCTGGCATGTCTGAACTTGACCCCCACACCTCCACGGAGTGGCGGGGTCCGTGTCCCCTCCGTGGCCTTGTTCTTCTGGCTCTACTTCCCCCAAAGGTCACTGTGATTCGTCCCCCAGATCTGAACGTTCTTAACATTTTTATCTGGAAAGGAGAAAGGCATGACTTCCACTCATGCTAGTCATTCTTCACGTTTGAGGAATTAAGCTGTGGGTCTGGGAGGGACTTGGCGTCCTGTCTTACACGTGCTACCAGAACGTCAAGACTGACAGCGTTCCAGAAAGCCCGTCCCCGTCCGTGCTGGAGTACAGGGCCGCGCTCTGGGATGCTCTGAGGACCGAGACTCATCCCACTCCCAGGGGGCTCCCCGGTGACTGCCCATGCAGGTGTCCTTGACCAGACACCTGCTCAACCCGTCCCCCGGGTGGGACCCGTCCCCTGCCAGCTCAGACAGTAGGTCTCACACATAGAGGGGAGCCAGGCACGAGCACACAGGCTTTCTGCCCTGGGGCCCTTGCTAGCGGGGCCCGGCACATCACTGCCAGGAATAAGATCTCCCTCAGACACCTCTGGGAGACAGGAGCAGGGTTCCAGCCTACAGATCTGCAAACCTCAGCCCCTCCTTTCACATGACCCCTCCATCCGAAGCGGCGGTGGTGTCCCCGTAGAAGCCGTGACAAGTCATGTCAAGTTACGGGACATCACCTGGTTCTTGTATGAACACAGAACAGTCAGATTTACCAAAACTGCAGACCTGCTCGGAGAGCCTGCGTGGGGACGGAAGCGCAGCAGGCAGCACGTTACAGGCCCGGCCCGTGGGACGCGTGGGAGCAGACCTTAGCTTGTGGGACAGACTGCAGCGGGCACAAGTGTTTCCAGTCAGTACGGCACACGGGTCTGCCCACTGTCCGGACTTTATTCGCAGCCTAGAAGTCCCTGATAATTCATCTTAATATGGCAAGAATTTGAGTTTTAGTCATTTCAGTCTTGAAGTTTTTTTTATTATTAGAGCAAGTCAGCATGCCTGCAAGTCCGCGGGGACGGGCAGAAGGAGAGAGAATCCCAAGCAGGCTCCCCCCACTTAGCACAGAGCCCGATGCCGGGCTCAATCCCATGACCTCAAGATCATGACCTGAGCCAAAACCAGGAGTCGGATGCTTAACCAACTGAGCCATCCAGCGCCCCAAGTGCAATTTCATTTAAAAGAGTGAAAGTGATGGCTTAGAAACATGTAGATTCCCTTTCTAGAAAGCTGTGAACACAGCCACTCCTGGCCCTCTCTGTGCTCTGGTTTTCCTCTGAATCTGGGGCAGACCGTGCTTCCCGGCAGCCAGGTGCTGGTCTGTCCCGCTGCACACAGCCTTGTGCTCAGAAACGGACAGTGTCCCGGCTCCGGAGGTCAGAAGTCCAGAGGCCTCCTGATGGCGACGACGGAGACTCTGCTCCATGTTCTCCCCAGGTTTCTGGTGTCCACTGGCGTCCTTGCCCTCCCCTGGCTTGTGGAAGCGTGACCCCCATCCCTGCCTCCGTGGGTGCCCTCCCCGTGGGCGCGCCTGTGTCCACAGTTCTCTGAGTAAGGACACATCCTGTTGGCGGAGCGCCCGCCCGGATTTACCGTTTGTGAATCCCCTCTGTTGTCTCTGGGGTCTCGGGACCCCAACCGACGAATTCCGGAGGGACATGATCCAACCCAGAACAGCACCCGCACTCACACCTGGCCCCTGGCTGCAGACCCCTGCCCAACTTTTAGTGCACGGACCCCTGGAGTGGGGTCTGGAGACGTGGTCCTCTGGGACCGCCCCATCCCTGCTGGACCTCCCTCTCCTCTGTTTCGTGGGGACCCCTTATTTATATGCCCTTCAGGGACCCCAAGCTGAGCCTAAAGCAGGTTCCTGCAGTTCAGAATCACGTTCTGGGCCTCAGCGACCCCAGGTAACTCAGTCAGGCTGGAGCCCCTCCCAGTGCCTGGGTCATCCAACAGGCTGGGGAACAACCCAGTGGGCACCAGGGCTCCTGCCCCACTGGCGGGGCTGCAGCGACAAATCCAGCTGGTACCAGTGACTGGTGGCGTGACAGGCCCCAGCTGGGGATTTTTCAGGACACAGGCCACTTCTTAAGGGGACGGGACCAGCTCTAGGAACAGACACTCGTGGTCCCCAGATGTAGCGCAGCAGTCCTGTGGCGAGGGGAGAGCCACGGACACGTCTGTAGTCCCCTTCGTGCTGCCTCCCCCGCCCGCTGTCCTGGAAACCCCTGCGCACAGCCCCTCCCCATTAGATCCTTGTACACACGTCCTCAGGATTCTGTGTAAGAGGCTGTTTGCTTATATCCAAAGAGAAGGTGGGGGGAGGAGACCTTTTCAGTACCTTTGACCAGGTGACATTGGGCCTCTGCCTCCGGGCTCCGGAGCTCTGGGGTGTGCCCCAAGCGGAAGGATGCCCGTCCTCGGTGCCAGTTCCCGCGAGCGGCCTCTTGAGGTCCCGGGCACACTGCTCTGATGTGCTGACTGTTCCAAGTCCACACACGGGGCTGGGCCTGATTCCACCGCTGCCCACTCACATTCCATGCGGAAGAGCCGGCAGGTGTCCCTCGGGGTCCCCCCAAACAAACATTCAAGTATCTGTTGGCTCGAGCGCGAGAGTAACGAGTTGCCCAAGAGCCGTGGAGCCCCTCGCCCGGATGGCCAGACAGCCCTGTCCAGAGCCGCCGGCACCGACACGCGGGTGTGATGACCCCTGCTGGGTTTTCATAGCAGGGCTGTCTTTCCTGGGGGTGGGGGCCGGGGAGCCCCAGGGGGACAGCCCGCCGCCATCAGTCTTGACTAGGAGGCCAGGGAGAGAGAGGCCTCCCCGGGTTGCACCTGACCAGCTCACGGCTTCTGGGCTCAGAGTCTGTCCATCCTGAAAACTCTGGGGTTTGGTCCAGGCCAGATTCCAGCAGCTTCTCCCGGTGGCGACAGCGACCACACAGCAAAGTCAGAAACCGCTCTTACTAGAGCCGCTCAAATGTCCTTGTTTGTTTCCACTTGGACGAGTGGTCCCTGCGTTCCCGCCACGGCCCACCTGACCGGCCCCTGTGCTTCTCCCTGCAGGAGGGATTTTAAGGAAAGGCGCAAAGCTGTTCTTCCGCCGGCGACAGCAACAGAAAGACCCCGGCATGAGCCAGTCGCACAATGACCTCGTGTTCCTGCAGCAGCCGGAGGGGGCCCGGAGGAAGGGGGCGACACTCTCCAGGATCCTGAACAAGAAGCTGCTCTCCAGACACAGAAGCAAGAGTGCCATGAACGGGGCTCCGGCGGACCCCGCGGCCGGCCCCCTGCCTCACCAGGATGCAGGGAGACGCGGGCCCCCCTAACCACCCGCCAGGATGGAGCAAGAGGGCCTGCACACTGTCAGATGGCCGCCTGGTCTGGCTGGGGTAAAGGGGAACGGAACCCCGAGTTCCTGGCCAGGAGGCTTCCCCCAGAGACACCTGACAAAGTTCCATTTGCCACCAGATGCCCAGGGAGACCCAAAGCTCTGCTCCCACCCAAGAGCAGAAGTTAAACGCGAGAAGATTTCTGTTAGGAACTAAAGAACGTCCTGTGATGGACGGAGATGGGGCAGGTGTGGGGGACTCGGTCTTAACCCCACTGCTGCGCTCGGACACATAGTACCTTGGGTCCGCGCCCGGACCACGTCCCAAAGAGGAGGTGTCCCCCTGTGCTGTCCCTGGGAATGGAATGGATGAGTCACCTGTCCTCGCGGGTGGCTCAGCATCACGGTGCAGCCGGCCCTGAGTACGGAGAGGTGGGACAGAGGCAGCATTTGGTGGGGTCCGCAGGGAAATCACGGTGGTAATGAGAACACTATGACAAAGGAGGAGGACAGTTGCCTTTGGTATTAGCCATAGAACTTGAAACCATATGCAAACACTAAATTCTGCGCACCTTACGCCGAGTGCTCCTGGTGTTTACTCTGAGCCCGTTTGCACGCGGGGAGCTAGCAATCCCTGTGTGGTTTTACGTGTCCCTCTCTAGTGTCGAAAGTGCTGGGGGGAGGGGGCTCTCCAGGGAAGCTGGGAGCAGTCAGTGACAGCCAGCGCCACGGCAACCGCACACGCACACACACACGCGCGCGCGCACACACACACACGGTTTCTCTTTCCTCCACGGCCAGTTTCCCAAACGCCGCCAACGGCGGAAGCAGAGCACTTCTAGGACAAGAGAGGAAGCTGTCGTATGTCTCAGGAGTCTTCAGGGTAGAAGTTTCATAACAAACGGGCCAAATGTCGCGTCCCAGTCCTCTCGGGAGCTCTCCAGGATTCTGCCATGAACGGTGCGCCGCCCGTCTTGGTCCTTGTTTTGGTTCCCTGTGGGGGAGAGAAAAGATAAAGGCAGCCCACCATGTGCATATCTCTGTGTACCCCTCAAGCCACGGTCCTCGTCTGTCCGCCCGTCTGTGTGTCTGCGCCGCTGGCCCATCCGTCCAAAGGGGCCACTTCCAGGGGACGAGCTTGTCAGGGCCGTGGTCGTTCCTGAGAAACATCTGATGGTTTAACAAGATTCGCTTTCTTCCTGTGAGATTTCAAAGGCTGTCGCGAAGGCTGACCTCTGTCCCGGATAGGAAACTGGGGGGGGGGGCTCCTCCCCACACGCGCTTTTGTTGATCCTTAAACCCATCTTTCAGGGGTAACAGAGCCACTGCCAATCAAAACCTTCCCGAAAACCCAGATTACGGAACTTTTCTTCCTTTTCCTTGAGAGCGAGATTATAAAACCACATGAAATCTATTACTTGGAAATGCACACTCAGAAAGCTCCACTGTCCCAGGAGTTACCAGGTGACTGTAAAATGAGTTTTTATAGGGGACATTCTGGTTTTTGTCGGCATGAAATGGCACGGGGAACTCCAACATGTCGTCATACCAAGTCAGTCCTCGCAGGCTGGTAGTCACTACTTGTCTTCTTGGAACACAGCCGGTCACTCTGTTTGGTCTCACTGGAAGGATTGCCGAGGACGCCCTGGGGATAGTCAAGAATTCTCGGAGGACGTTACGTGTCAGACTTTCAGGCACAGGTCAGAAGGTCTTAGCACAGTTTTTTGTTTGACTTTGAAGTTCAAATCAGCTCAATTTAGTCAACGTGACGGTATTGGAGTTTTACGCTGGCACTTTCTTGCGCTCAAAAAAAAAACCCGTCTCAGGCATTCCCATTCCTGACTGACCCCAGGAGCATTTGTTCAGTTTCATCCTTTTGCCAAAGACTCTTGTTTTCTCAACTTCCTGGTGACTTGAGGCCTCTTCTGGGTCCCGGGTGAGCGACAGGTGGGCTGCGTCTGTTCTGCATTCGACGCAGGACCGTAGCGTGAGAGGTGGAGAGCGGTAAGGAGATGCGTGTTTCTGTGTGTGTGTCGGGCACCCGTCAGGGGCCCCGTACCTCTAAGCAAGATCAGGAGCTCCTCCTTGAGACGTGCACACGTTTTCTCCGTCTGAGGGCCTTTCCTGAACTCGCAGGACACTCGAGAGAGCACGGAAGGGCGCAGGAACAGAGCCCCGTGAGAAAGTGGGCCGTGTTGATACTGTGAATGCTGCTTTCCTGGCCGTTTAGCCTGGCCTGTGCTTTTGCGGTGTCGGTATTCACGTGGAAGGAAATGGGAAGGTTCCGCGTCAATTAAGGTTATACACCAAATGCTAACCGTACCGACCCGTAAGTCCCCTCATTCCCTTGCCCTTCTTTATGCTTTACTGGCGCGGGAGCTCCTGATTCCGTGTTTCGCTCACGATATTTTTGCAGACTCGTGTTTCGGAGCGATTTTGCACGTGCAAATGGGAACGTGTCTGTGTCTGGAAGCAGGTGCTCACGTTGGTCGTGAGCTGGGGCACTGCCCTACGCTCAGGGACGTCCCCGTGTTTGCAGAGGAACGCGTGGGAACCTGCAGTGTGTGTCTGTGTGTGTGCGCGTGTGTGTGTTCACAGAGCAGCAGTAACAAAAGCGCCGATTTCACTGTCCCGACGGAAACCGCTGTGAAGACGACGGTGTAGACAGAGCACTTTGTGTAAATCCACTCCCAAGTTTAAAAGCAGCCCTTGATGCCTCCTGAGAGCTCCCGGGCCGGTCGCCGGCCACCAGCCACAAGTGAGGTGCCTGTCACGGCGTCTGATTGGTTCTTCCGGCTGCCTCTACGGAAGACGGTTGTGAGTTTTCTTCTTGAGCAGAAAGGGACTCGTTCACGTCCGTGGCTGCCAACAGCCACCAGGGTTTTCCTGGCAAGAGCCTCACAGTCCTGACACCTCAGGGCACAAGCTGGGGACCCCCGGAGGACAGAACGTGGATGTCCGCTAGGTGGAAACCAGTCTTGCGCTGGTGTAGACCCCAACCCTGGGCCCTCCCACCCCGGCCCCACGCCTGCTCGGGCCCTATTACCAAAGCACGTGGCACGGACACGCAGGTGCTGCTACGTTCTGCAAAGCAAACTCAGGTCCCCTCCCGGTCCCACTCCTTGCGTTCCTGTCCCACGTGACAGGAGGCATCCGGCGTACGTCAACCCGCCTAGTTCGCCCAGCTTCCAAGTGCTCAGAAACATACCATATACAAGTCACCCTTGTAGGCACCCCCTCCCCCAAGGTCACATCAAAGCTGCATTTTTTAAAAAGAAAACGAAAGGTCTTCCAGGTGTGTGGCAAGGTCTGGCTTGATGCTCAGTGTGGTGACGAACCCGCTGGACACTGACCGTATTCCTCGGTAGCTCTGTCAACACAGGTCCCTGTCCCGCACCAAACTGTGGGAGACGTTCCTGGGATGTAAACAGTCTTTGAAAGAAATAAACGTGCACTTGGGACACAAAACACCGCCTTGTGTTTGCTGAGCCCTGGGCTGTCCCTCAGGTCCCGCGTCTGTCCCGGGGTCCCGGATCCCGGTCCGTCCGCTGCGTGGTGCTGGTGGTCGGCCGGTGTGCGAGGCCACCATGGTCAGCGGCGTGGAAGAGGAGGCGTGGCCACTGCCACTTGCTCTGTTCTAGGCAGACGCCCTTCCTCACGCTCTTCTGCCGTACTGGCTTTGTTTTGGGCCTGGGGCTACACCCATTTACTAGAAAGTCAACGTTTCCAGGGGCCCCCGGGGTCATGGTGCATGGGGGGGTGCTATCAGGGTCAGCCTGGCCTGGGTCCTCCCACGGTGCAAGCTGGCAGGAGATGCCTCTGCGTGACCCCCGGTGATCTGAGGGGCACTGTCCTCTAGGAGGCCATCTTTTTAATATGTCCCTCAGCTCCCGGTCAACATCCGCCCCCAGGGTGGCCCGTGGAGGGTGGCGTGGAGCGGGCTCCCACGTGGGCTCAACTGAGCCAATCCCTGGTGTCTCGCTGGTGCAGGACTTGTGCTGGTTCCTGGCGGGGTAGGGGGAAGGGCAGGGCACAGCCAGACAGAGGGACAGGTCCCGCACAAAACCGCAGGCATCTCGGCTCCTTCCTGGGGGTCAGTGACTCTGTTTCCCTCCCTCCTTCCTTGCTCTGCCAGGCACTGCAGCATTCGGAGGAGTGAGGCGTGCACGGTGCCCCTTGGTGGGGTGGCCCCACCGGGTAGGGAGTAGGAGCCGACGATTCAGGCCTTCGCCTGTGAGGGGAGCCATGTACCCATGCACGGCTCCAGCCATCCCGGGCTTGGGTCCGCAGTCTCAGCTCTGGGTGTGGCAAGCCGTGGCAGCCCGGTGTCTCCTTTGCGGTGGAGGCGTCCGGCAGTCTGAGACCACACCGCCGCGTCCTGCGTGACCTGGGGTCCGTTCTGGGCCGACGCTGTATCAGGAGGCCTGACAGGCCTGCTAGAAGGCCAGCCCTGCCCTAAGGGACCAGCTTTCCCCACTGGATCTCCTGCCGGTCACCTCGAGGCACACGCTGGACTCCTACCAGACCCGTCTACACTAGCCACGTTTTTTTTATTTTAGAGAAAGGAGAGAGAGGAGAGAAAGCGCATGAGTGGGAGGAGGGGCAGAGGAGAGAGAGAATCTTCAGCAGGTTCCATGTCTAGTGTGGAACCCAACGCAGGGCCTGAGCTTGTGACCTGAGCCAACATTGAGAGTTGGGACCCTCGGCCGACTGAGCCACCCAGGTGCCCCGCCCCCGACAGCCCACGTTAACCCATGCCAGCCACCCCCAGTCTGTGAATGTGCCCCCCTTGTCCCCAGTACGACCCACCAAACACAAGCCCCACCTTCTCCGTGAAGCAGCTTCTGCCACTGAGGACAGCCCCGAGCACCAGGCGCTTCCTTCGGTCCCTGTCACTTCTCCCTGTATTGCTTCCCCTCACACCGGTTCCCAGGCGGGCAGTGGACCCGTTGGGCTGAGGGCAGTGTAGACCTAGTGAGTAATGAGAGGTATCACCTGGCCCCCACCTACGAGCCCATTTTACCCCGGCTCACAGGAACCCAGGCGCAGGGGACAGAGCCCGCCACGCACGGGGAGCCGAGGGCAAAACCGTGCCACTGTTCACCTTGGCCGCCTCCACAAATACAGGGGCTGCAAGTAGATATCGATACCTCGTTCGCAGAAAAGGCAGGTTGGTCCCGCAGAGGTCTGGCCACCAGGATGGAGGACCGGCACAGGGCCCTCTTCCCACGGCGCCCGAGAGACACCCACGGTCACACTCTGCCCACCACTGTCCCCGGCT